CTCTCTCTCTCTCTCTCTCTCTCTCTCTCTCTCTCTCTCTCTCTCTCTCTCTCTCTATCTATCTATCTATCTATCTTCTATTTATCTATCATCCATTCATCCATCCATCCCCCATTTTTCCATCCTGGGGGGGAGGGAGTCAAAACAGTGGTCACTGGAAACAAGGCTTTTTCTGTCGATGTGTCCAAAATCAGAAAATCCCCCATTCCTCAGCACATTTGCCAAGAACCATTGCCCAGTTCCCAAAATGCATTTAAAGCTTCTACTGCTGATTTTTATCTCTCTAGTCCTCCATGTAAAAAAAGTATAATGGAGTCATAGAAATTGCTTCTGCCTTCCTTCTTTCTTGAGTTTCTTCTCTTTGTTCCAGATCATTCATATCTGTCCATCATTTCATACAGAGCTAGTGTTTATTACAGACAGCCCTTGATTTACAAGTTATAGTGGCACTTTAAAAAGTGACATGACCATTTTTCACACTTACAACCATTGTGGCCTCCCATGTTGCAGTGTTCCGGTGTCAAAGTCAATAGGGGAGCTAGATTCTGTGGCAAGGAAAGTCCTAAAATGGGGCAAAACTCATTTAACTGCCTCGCTTAGCAACAGAAATGTTGGGATGAATTGTGGTTGTAAATCAAGGACTACCTGTACTTCCACATGTAACGCAAACTCAAATTGTGCTATCCTGCTAATCTGAGATTCACTTCCTGTAGGATGTTCCCCTTCAGCTGATTGCTTATATAAGCAACAGCAGTGGTGGGATTAAAAAAATTTAACTGTCAGTTCTGTGGGTGTGGCTTGGTGGGCGTGGCATGGCTTGGTGGTGTGGCAGGGGAAGGATATTGCAAAATCCCCATTTTCTCCCAATCAGCTGGGACTCAGGAGGCAGAGAATAGATGGGGGCGGGGCCAGTCAGAGGTGGTATTTACGGGTTCTCCAACTACTCCAAATTTCTGCTACCGGTTCTCCGGAACTGGTCAGAACCTGCTGAATACCACCTCTGAGCATCAGGCATAATCAGCTAACTTTATTTCCTTCTCTTACATGGGACTCATTCCATTCTGAGTAAAACAATTAATAAGAATTGCAATCTAATTCAAAGAACTATTTTAGACTAATAAAACATCTTTTATCTAAAGAAGAGCAAGTCTCATTTCACACAAAAAAGACAGCCAGGCTGTTGTTTTTTCTTTGCCTGAGGAAGCAGTGCATTTGATTGGTAAACAGCACTTAAAAACTGCAGCTTCTCCCATTTGGGCAACAGTAGAAGTAATGAAAACACAAAGGGAGGAATATGTAGCCAAAAGGCTCCTTCTTGCTCCAACCACAGCTGACTGGATCTGAAGAAGGGCAGAGATGTTACCTCTGGCATGAAAGCCGGCTGCGTGACTTTGAGCCAGTCCCTCCCTCTCAGCCCAACCCACAATTACAACCCCCAGGGTTGTAATTGTGGGGGGAAAGAGGAGGAGGTAGAACTACTTATGTATGTTCACCCCATTGAGTTACTTGTGAAAGTGTGATACTGGCAGGATAAAGACCTAGTTAAAAAAAGATGCTTCTCAATGGAGCTTTTAAAAACAAACAAACAATTAGATAGCCATGAGTAATTTTAAAACTTAAGAGTAAGGCTCTATTTATTAATATGCCATCTAAGATAATCGAATTACACATTTTTCCATCTAATTGCGTGTGTGTTTTTAGATTGTTGGGGACAAAATGCTGACACTGTAAACCGCTTAGAGAAGGCTGTAAAAGCACTATGAAGCAGTATATAAGTCTAAGTACTATTGCTATTGCAATTACTTCATGCTAAAGTTCAGCAAACAAAATTCAAATGCTGCACGGGAAGTAAGAATGACATTTAAATTTAAGTGATCCAAGGATTAAATTAAAGGTGTTTCTGTTGACAAATCATGTGCTGTGAAAAATGTGGGAGGAGGGAAAGTACCATTCCATTTAATCTTGTGTACTGAAACAAAATAAAACAAGATGGAACCCACTGCACTTTATACAATTTTAGATCATGCAACAAGAAGAAAGCACAGAAGTAATTCAGGATTTCAAATGATTCAGGAGTTCTCACGCCAGCACTATGTGTAATTCCAGCAAAAACAAAAATAAAAAATAGCACGCATTTGACATAAACCCATTGAAGACTGCAATACTAATGAAATGCTTACCTTTTCTCTGAATAAAAATCCGAAGCAAAGGATTAGCAGTAGAGACCGCTTTGTGGTAGTTGTCATCATTATTAATTGGTAGGAGATCTCCGTGAATGTCTGTATATCCAACTAAGACCTCAACATTGGGTATTTTGTGAACATGCTGAAGTAATCCATAGAATTCGTCAAATCTGCCAGGCTTTGCTCTTTCCAGAGAAAAACGTCGGAACTCTGCACCAAACTATAAGAACCAGAAAACATTAGTAACACTCAGACAATAGAAAATGTATCAGAATACTTTATAATTGTCAAATGGTGGGGATTGCACCCAAGATAAGAAAATGAAAGACCTTGTTCCCAATCATTTATGAAATGTCTATCTAGCTTTGCATTACAGTACCATTCTCATTCACAGATGTTCCCTCTTTTATCCTTCGGTGATCTCTACATCCCAAAATACTTCACATATGGTATATATAGCGAATTCTCACTTATCATGATCCAATAGAATATATGTAGCTCAGGGTTGAACTGTGGAGTCCTTGATGTCAAGTGTGGTTGTTTGCTTGCAGATGTTTCATTACTTCACTAAATATCATTGCCATGAAACATCTGCAACCAAACAACCAAGCTCAGAGAGCATCAAGGACTTCACTTGGCATGACTGCTTATGCAAGATCACCCTACAAGATCAGAAATATGGGTTGAATAATGTTCCATTTTAGGAAAATTTGTGAGTTTCAATTTATACTTTTAAAATGTTTGATCTAAAATCTGAGAAGCTAAAAAATAAATTGCAACTACATATAATTTATTTAACTTTTAAAAAAATCTGGCCTAACTATATGACTCTGGGCAGTGTACAATAATGAAAATAAAGCACAAAATAAAACAAAGTTCCCATGCCCCTTTAAAACAGAACCACACATTAAAGGAAAGGTAATATACAAACACACTATGGCCAAAATCCCATTGAAATAAAATGGTGGAACTGCCAATCAAACATGGCAAAACAGGGCAACTGTCCCCACGTTATATTCCAGAAGGAGGAAGTAAATCCAACAGGACCAAGAAGAAGGGCCTTTTCTGTGGTAACTCCCTCCTTGTGAAACATCATCCCTATGAAGAAGGTGTTTGGTCCCCATTTTGACACTCTTTCACAAGGCGGTCAAGACCTAGTTTTGCCAACAGGTCTAGAGAACCCAGAATGGGATGGAGCTCATCAAGTAGTTTATTTGAACTGATTCTTGATGCCAAGGGGTGAAGTAGGGTTATTGCTTTATATTGTTTTTATATTGGGTTTTTATTTTTGTAAGCTGCCAAGACACTGAGAATGAGTTAGGCAGTCATATACATTTTCTTAAATAAATAAATGTCAAGCCACTGGTCTTCCCCTTTCTCACTAGCCCCAAGATCTCTTGACATTCATATAAGATTTGACACATGATATTCAGTAACTTGAAAAGCAGTAATTACGGCACAGCAAACAAATGCATCTATACATTTGTTTTTTTCTTTCCAATAAAACAAACCCACAAATGAGTTCACTATCCAACACAATCTGGCTATTCAGTAAGTATGCACAGGATTACACAGTAAATCTAAGCCGGTTCCCCTTTACAGGTTCCCCTGTAATTGAATTCTACATCCTCTTCTGTACAAAATCCCCCCCCCCCCATGTTCTTGCTCACTCACTTCAGTCTGGAATTTATTTGGAAAGGAAATACCAAAGTACTTCTCTACATCCTTCTAAATCATTATCTTCCTACCTTTGGAGGCTATTATTTAATAAGGAATGTGGTAAGAGCATTTTACACCTGAATGGACAGGATGCTGGATTTCTTTTGGTTCGTGCATGTCACCTACAGCCCTACACAATTATTTAAGCCTGTAATATCAGGCGTGCAAGTAGAAGAGGAAATGATAAATATAAGTTTCCTTTTCCAATAATTGCACCTGTGGATATTCCATATGTTTCACTCTGTATATCTCATAATGCCTTTGACAGAAACAGCAGCAGAGAAAAGATTCAAATGGTATTTTCTACATTTAAATTCAATCAATTAACAGAAAAAGCCTAAAGATAAAGATGCTTTTCCAGCTCTGCTGACAGCATCATTAAAGCAATTGGTCATATTACCTTCTTCCAGAGTATTTTTTCAACTTCTTCTCTGTCTAGCCAAACAAGGTTTAAAAACATGTCAAGACAACATGCTTAAACCTTTAAAACCAAAGTTTTCAAAATGCAGAAGAACAAGGAAAATACAAATCAACCGCTCCCACCTACCGAAGTCTAACAGAAATTATAATGAGGCAAAGTAACAGGAATTAATGATTATAGCAGTTGGAAATCTTTATATATGCATGTTTGATCAGTTTTCAAACTGAGGTTCAAGTGTTTGCGAATTTCAAACATTTCAACTTGCTTGGCCTAAATTTTTAACAAACTTGATACATTTCCAACTTCGCTGAGGCCCAAATTTGGCTTAAATTTTATAGAGGCTTACATGCAGACTTGCTGCCGGAGATTTTGCCTTAATCTTCAAGACATTCCTGACCACCTTGATTTTACAAGACCATTTTACATAGTCAAAGACGACAAGCATTAATGGGGATCTATGATTTTGCCATCTATATGCTTCAAGAGGGCTTTGTTTTGGCTGATACAATAGATTTTTAATGCTGATTAAAGAGAGAGATTTAATCTCTAATGCAGTGGTTCCCAACCTTTATTTGGCCATGCCACACCTAAGTATTTTCAAAATCCTGATCCCTCCCCCCCCCAAACATATAATTCTTACTTTACTCAACAAGTGAACTCTACTCACGTGGAGGAAGCCTAAAAGGCCACTAACTTGGTTTAAGTAAGGTTCAAATTGCCCCCATTAAAAATCAAATTGAGCCCCTGTAGGGCATGGGCCCCACATTGGGAACCATTGCAGCCCTCCCTTGGTTAGAACAGACTTATTTTCCGTAGTTATTTTCTTGTCCAACTCACAGAATTCCTTCATTCTTGCTAGATTTGATGAAGCTAGATGGGAGTTTAAAAGCACTCCATTATAAGTGTCTTTGACTCTCTGACTGATGAAGTAGAATCAGTGTCATATCTGTTTCTTTCTCTCCTTTATGCTCTGGCTGAGCTTTTAGTAAAGATTCTGTCAATCAACGATAATGGAGCTCAACAACATGATGGCACAGGTAGTCCTCAACTGACAATCATTCGTTTAGTGACTAAATTTACAACAGCACTGAATAAAGTGACTTATGATAATTTTTCACACGACTCTTGCAGCATCCCCATGGTCATGTGATCAAAATTCGAACACTTGGCAACTGGTGTGTATATTTATGATGGCTGCAGTGTCCTGGGGTCAATCACCTTTGATAAGCAAATAAGGAAGCTAGAGTCACTTATCAATTGTGTTACTAACTTAATTGCAGTGATTCACTTAACAATTGTGGCAAGAAAGGTCATAAAATGGGACAAAATTCACTTAATTGACTTGCTTGGCAATGGAAATTTGGGGCTGAATTGTGGTTGTAAATTGAGGACTACCCATAACAGCTATACTAAACAAAATTATACAGATAGGCTCAATCAATTTCCAGAAAGCCGGACCTAAGAGAACATCCAGGTTTTCAAAGATATACAAAATGCCAGCAGGATTATGATCAAGTGAATATTAAAGGACATAGTGTTCCAGCCACAATGACAGAGAAGGCAAGCTTCCTGGTCCTGCCAGATGGTATTGCTTAATAGATGGGAACTGGACCCCACCTACCTTGCCAGAGTTAATGAGATAGACAGAGATGACCAGAGAAAGAGGTCCCATAAATAACCCTGCCTCATGAAGGTCTTTATAGGTAGTAATTGTCTCCTTGAAGCCTATGGGGGGGGGGGGGGGGGCACGACCATAGTAGCTTGCACAGCAATGGTACAATATAGGCATACTGAGGGGCACCCACAAATGTCTGCATCACTACATATTGGGTCAACTGCAGCTTCTAACTGCTCTTGGTGTAGACCACATTGCAATTCAGATGACCAAGGCATTAGCAACTGTGAATGGCTCTTCCTTCCAATACAATGATGAAGTTAGAACTAGTTGTGGAAACAGTTATCACATATGAACTGATCAAAGAAATAAAAATCAATCATCCCTGTGGTGTCTTATTAGATTTATATCTCAGCTTTGTTTAACCCAGAATACCTCTTGCCTTCTATTTTCACCACAACAATCCTATGAGGGTGACTAGTATGCAGGAGATCAACCTCAATACTCAATGTTTGCTTGTAAAACATTTAAATAAATGGCCTTAATTTCAAACTATCTTACATCCTTGTAAACATCTTTATTGTTGAAAGCTGCCTAGAGTTGCTGTGAGCAAGTAAGCAACTATATTATATTTTCTAAATCAATCAATAAAATCCTATACAGTCCATTAACTTTATATTACACAATAATCAAGCAAAACAGATGTGTTGTGTTGCCATACTTGTGTATCTAAATTTTTAAAAAACCTGCATGAGTAACTTGTATGATATTGGTAGAATTGTAGGTTGTTTCCAGATATTTACTCTGCAACATTTATGCTTTGTTCCCTCACTTTTCCATGATCCAATCTGAGCCAATCTTGTTCAGTACTAGTATTTTTATTCAGAATATTCTTATATCAAAGTACCAGAAAAGACCTATTTTTGTCCTATAACATCAATAAACTTGTATGATATAAAAAGTGGATTAAGAGAAAGTGATTGGTACAAAGTCATCCAGAGAGCTTCCATGGCTCATAAAGAATTAAAAAGTAGATCAGACACCATAACCATTGACACATATTGGCTTTCCATTGTTCACCATAGGGCAGGAAATCTGATTTTTTTTAATAAAGAAAACTGAGTCTGCATTTATTATTACTCTTCCATCTTTGTTAGAATACTTTGGAAGATTGCTCCTTTAGCTTATCCATTTTCTTCTTGCATGCTGTCACTTTCAATACTGTCTTATATCTTTGTGTATTTCTTATATTTATAAAATAATTAAGCACATACTTTTTCTGATTTATGTTTTTTTACTTTATTCTATAACAATGTTCCCATCTATTTTTTTAATTAAGCTTTGTTACAGATCATTAACAGATGTATACTTAAAAGGGTAATAGCGATGTAAAAAAATCTTTTCCTGACCACATCATCATGCCATAGTTAAAAGATCAAGGATCAGATGAAAAATGAAAGGGAAAATATGATATCTCTAGGCTCCACTCTTGTTCAGGATAAAAAGTTATTTTAAGTCTGTCCCACACCTTCAGGATTGTTCAATTTCCTAATTTAACTTTATAAGTATAAAAATATTTATAGTGCTAGATATCCTCTCAAAATGCAACTATTGTTGAAAATGCAGTTATGAAATAATTGTACTTGCTACACATGAATATAACATGAATGGAACATATTCTCCCTGACTAGTGCCAGTCAATTTTTTCCAATTCTTCATGTACTGTACAAAATTCAATGTATGCATGTGTAACACGCCCCCCCCCCTTAGTTCTCTGTTTATGGTCCTTTTACATCATTCTATAAATATTTTCCTATTTTCATAAAGCTTCACTACAGATCATTAACAGTTGTATATTTATTAGGAAAAGATAAATAAACATTTAATACTCATTAGCTTTTGTTATTCATAATTTAAAAAATAAACATTAGAGCTTTAGGAAAGTTTGATTTCATGCCATATTTCCTTTATGCAACAGTACATGTTCAAAAGAAACATGAGAAGTCGTAATACACATGAAGTATTGTTACTCAGATACAACTTAGAATTGCAGTTATTCCTTCATTTTCAGAAAGCTTTGGAACTAGCACTTTAGAAATGCAGCCAATCTATAAAATCTGCATATTATTGGGTTATGATGATCAGTGCAAGCAAATTAATTGTCTTAGTAAAAAGAAAGTTAAGAAGAATATAGGAAATACAATACAGAGAAGCTAGACTAATAATGGATTAATATTTTAAAGGAGTGGTAAACCTCACTATATAAATAGGGAAGAGAACAAGAATATTGTGGATTGTATTTCACATTAAATCTAAAATCCTGGATGCCAGGTAAAATGTGTTTTAAGGATCATGCTTGTTGCTTATCTAAAATTTTAGTTACCTTCAATAAAAGGATTTAAACCATAACTCACAGCAATTACTGTCAAAATATAGTTTATTCCTCTCGGTGCTGAAGAGCAATGCCAAAACACTTCACCCGATCCACTAATAGTTAACACAAAAGTAAATGAATGTTAAAACGTTCTCTCCTAGTCAGACTATAGAGTATGACACATCCTGTTACTCAAAATGTCATGTGTATCACAGCGCACCACTTTAATTTGTGGCATGACTACACAAATAATACAAGGCAACTTAATCTATAGAAAAGTATAATGTACTTGGGTGTGTACAAGAACGTAGAAGTTTAGAAATCACCTCAGGGTAGCTATTTTGTATAGGTACAATTAGCTTATAGTTAGTAAATGACAGGGCCTCGGAGTATTCCAAAAATCCCCTAAAATGGAAATAGTCTATGCTTTTTTCAAAAATAATCCACTGTAAAATTGTATTATTACATCAATTTTGTTTACTTTTAATATCAGAACTCGAGCACCTAGGTGTGCACAATTTCAAAAATGCTTTTGAAATTACTGCTCAGTAATGTCAAGGCTGTAGTTCAATTAACATGGCTAAAGGAAACAGAAGGCTCAAAATGGCATCCCTTATACCCTTTTTGATAAGAAATTCTACAAGTTTTTAAAATGTGATCTGATCTGCAACCAGATTAAAAACGTTTAAACTCAAGAAAAAAAAATCAGGCTGTTGAGGACAACTTCTGAATAATGCAGTACATCACATCTTTTAAATGTCATCTAAGGTTGTATGGCACATTGCAGAATCTGTGGATTAACAGCTATGCCTGGGAATGGATAGGGTGACTTCCTCAGGTAAGACAGATACTTGATTTTAAAAAAAAGAATACTTCCCCCACTCCCCCCAAATAACAAAAGGACAGAATTCTAATACAATTTCTGAGATTCTTCTCTCTGGGCAAAACTAGTTATTACAGCATGGAACAAATATGCTGTGCGTAGAGGGGAACGCAAACTGTGGCAAAGAGGTAATGCCTACACATAACCACACCCTATTAGTTTATACCAATCATGAATATTGGCCTACATCTCTTAGTTCTATAATCATCCATACTCCCTTTAAAGCTTCTTACTGTATCTTTACACATACACACACACATTATAAAGACAAGGGGCAATTCCAGCATTTTCCTGTACAAAACAAAATGGTTAATACTTAACTCAGAAGAATTAAGTCAGCTTCTAATGAATTCCCACATTCAATTGTTGGAATTAATCATTTAAAGTACATTTTTTTAAATGAACCGGATCCTGCTGATCCAATCCCTACCTAGTCCCTACTCACCTTCCAACAAACACTTAACCCTATATGAAGGTCCGCTACCATGTCATAAGAAGAGGGTAGGTTTTAGTTATGGAAAAATGAGATAAATTTGTTTCGGGTGGGCAATGCATCATCAAACCACGCAGGTAACACACATAGAATGTTGTTTTTTCTTATCACATCTTAATCCTAATCTGATTTTTTTTAAAAAAAGAAAGAGGTCGTAATTCAAGGCTGGTGGTGAACTGTACTCACCACCTCGGATCGAAAGTATTTCCTTACACCTTATAGCAGGTACAATGGGAGGGCAAGTAGGCGGATGGGATTATTAAACCCCTCAATAGAAATGCCCTCTCTACATGATCAGGAACACGCTTCCGTCTCCCCCACCCCGCTACAAAGAGGTAATAAAAGCCAATCCTTAATTAAACCAATTCTTTCCTAGATCCCCGAAACAAGACAACCGCCTCCCTTTCCAATGTTCTCTTCCTTCCTTTAACTACAATTAAAAAAAAAAACATTTTAAGGGGTGGGAATGAATTCTCCCCCCCCCCCACTCCCAGCCGCTGAAGCCCCATACGAGGAAGCCCATTCCTCCTCCCACTCCGTCACCCACCTTGCTCTTTACTTCCATAGTGGCGAGGCCGCGGCTTCCCCCGCTACTACCGCCTCCTGCACCTCGTTGGAGCCGGTTCATGCCGCGCGGGAACTCGAAGGTCGGCTCGGCGGGGCGAAGCGAAGGAGGGGAGGGGGGAGAGCGGCTCGCAGCTCAGCCGCCTTCCACTAACGCCGCCTCCACCCGCCTGGCTCTGCGGAATAGCCGACGCGAGCTCGGCTGCCCGGGAGCTAAAGCAGAGCGTGCGTGCGTACGTGCGTGTGTGCGTGCGTCTGTCTGCCGGGCCGGGCTGCCTAGCGCTGGCACCTGCACCTCCAGGGAGGGGGAATCGGGATGGGGTGGGGGAGTGATACTGTGAGCAAAGGCACGCATGCGCGCGCGCGGGCCATCCGCGGCACGGGATGGGGTGGGTGGGAACCGCCGCACCTGCGAGACCTTACCGCGCCTGCGCGCTTGCTTCTGCAGGAGAAAGAGGAAAAAGAGGCGATACACCTGCTAAAGCAGTGCCACGGGGGCTGGCTAATGCGCTTGCGCCCGGCGGAAAGGTGAAATACCTGCTGGCCTGGATTCCAAAGAGGGATTAAAAGAGGGCGCATGCGCGTTTGGTTTACGCCGGAAACTATTAATTGGGGAAAAGAGATCGGGAAATTCTGTCCGCAGGTGGGGGCTGCAAGTGGAAGCGCAAGTTTCTGAACAAGGAGCCTTCTCTGTATAATTCCTTTTTTTGTGCGCCCTTCCTTTTTTTTTTCTCCTGAAGGCCAGCAAGGAATACACGATTTTTCTCGTTAGTTTTATTCTCCAACAACTCCCTAGGAACTTCTTAGCAGAAGGAATGTCAGTCCAGAAGCCTTGATCCTAAGGAGGCCAATAGCCCGATCCTGCTCAGGGAGAGAAGACAGACAGGCTGGACATTAGGGTGCAGACTCCTGGATCTGGAACCCCTGTTGTGTGCAGCCGTGCAATAGTTGTGTGGACGGGGTGGGTTGAATAAACACAATTGGCCCAATTTATCATCATGGTTGACCTCATTTTTATTCATTTATTTATTTATTTAATTTGTCGAACATTTACTAGATAACAGGTATAAGTATAAACATGGACATGAACAAAGGAAATCAGTACAAATAAATGGGGACAGTAGGACAGGGACAGTAGGCACACTGGTGCGCTTATGCACACCCCCTTTTCAGACCTCTTAGGAATGGGGTGAGGTCCACTGTAGACAGTTTAAGGTTGAAGCTGTGGGGCTTTGAGGATGTAACAATGGAGTCAGAGCATTCCAGGCATTGACCACTCTGTTGCTGAAGTCGTATTTTCTGCAATCGAGTTTGGACCAATTCACCTTGAGTTTGTATCAATTGTTTGCCCATGTATTGAGGTTGAAGCTGAAGAAGCCATTGGCAGATAGGACATTGTAGCAGACAATTTTGTGTACCTCACTTAGATCAGACCATAGTGGTGTAGTTCTAGGTTGTCCAAGCCCAAAATTTCAAGCATAAGGGATTCTGTTGTGAGCAGAGGAGTGGAGAACTCTTCCCATGAAATTCCTCTTGACCTGTTCGATCGTATTAATGTCCGATATACAGTGTGGATTCCAGGCAGATTAGCTGTTTTCGAAAATTGGTCTGGCAAAGGTTTTGTATTCCTAGTTTGCAATACAATGTTACCGAAGAAGAAGCTTAGCCAAGGGTGATGTGTATATCCAGGTGAAAGATTTGCACAATCATAATGTGGCTTTTGCTTGAAAAAAGGATCCCAATCAACGCAAAAAATTATTTAGATATTGTGCTGGAACGAAGATAAGTTGTGCATTGTTTAGATACAAAGAAACAGAAATGCTGGGAGATCGTATAGAAGATTTAGAGAAGATTTATTTATAGTAGGATTGTGGAAAACCATCAATGGATACATTATGAATTATGGGGACAAATTACTTTCTGTTTGCTCATAGTAAAACATTTTCTTACAAACTGGGGGTGTTGTAAGAAGGTCTATGAATATCTGCATGCTAGGCATCATAGCTGGCAAGCATATAAGCTTTTGAGATTTCAAAGTGTGTGAATTAGGCAGGGCATTGCAGAAGGCATACAATGAAGAGATTAAAATGATATTAAAGTCCTAAAATTCATTAATTCCAGAATGGCTTTGAACTAAAATAGCTAACACCAAGATAATGTAATAATTAGGTTATATAGATTTTTATTCAATTGTATGGTTTTAAATTTTTCAGTTGTACCTAAAAATGATCAGGACCAGGAAAATTTTAAATGCCCACTAATCTAGAAATATCTTTTATATCTTAATTTTTTAATAATTTAATTTTTTTAATAATAAACCTTTTTTATCTTATTGCATTAATATTCCTTTTGATTTGGAACCCTGTGTCTAGCTGTGCTTGATGATTATGCAATAGTACATTTTATTTTTAAAAAAAGCATTTTTCTGGGTAAAATATATTCATTTAACTAAGTGATAGGTATGAATCAATTACAGGGTTCAATGAATCAATTACAGGGTCCAGTATTTAGCTTACATTCTACTGCAATGAATTATACCAGATTAAAGCTTTATTAAATGAAAATGAAGGACCTCCTTTCATGGACTCTTATGAAGTCATTGTAGTACAAATAAATTCCAGCCTGTTACAACAAGTGTATAGAAGCTAATATATCTTATGAGCCTTTTAGCTTAGAAGCGCCTTGTTTATTTATACACCTTCCCCATGCGTGCCCACCCACACGCAAAGGCACATGTATAATTAAAATAATAAACAATCATAACTATAAATAGATCAGGCTACTTTGTATTCAGGATTATCATGCTAAAGTAATACACTGAGTTTGATAGAATAAATGACAGAGAAACTAGCTTTATCAAGGAATGTGTAAAATTGAATCTGGATATCATTGGCTATAAAACATACCCAGAAGTTTTAAGAGTAATAGATCCTATTGGAGATATTGCAACATTCCTAGGGTTTTTTTTAATAAATTAATTTCAATAGCAGTTCTAGAATAGCTGGTTGGGTTTGAGTTCACTTATTTTCCTGAAAGGTGGCACAATAAACTTAAGGTGTTGAATCTAAACCAAAGAGCATCCTTAATGAATTTTGTCTCATTATCCAAACAAATACCAAAATGACCCATTCCCATGATCACATTTCAGGGAAAGAGCTTTGATTCAGGCTAATATAAATGGCTTGTTCTGTGGAACGGGAAGGGTATTTACCATAACTGACATTGTAAAATTTGCTGGCATGTGATTCATGTAATTCTGTTTCACTGGGATAGCTAAAAGCCCAATCAAACTAGTCAGACTAGTTTGGGAAAGTGGGAAGTCACTATTATCCTCCTGCCTCTTCCCAGGTAGAAGAAAGAAACAAGTACACTCCAGCTCACACCATCCCTTTATTACAGTCCATCAAAATCCACAGTCAATAATGATCACCAGTCTTGAACATGGCTATAACCCATTCTTCGGAACCACCAGAGGTCCAGAGCATTGGAAAATTGGAATAAATGGTATACATTGCAGTCCCTCTAGGTCAAACCATTGAATGCACAAAACATAATTGTCATTCCCAGAATGTTAGGCTATTATATGATAGCTGTAAGATTTAGAGTGGCTCTCCAGCCAATGGTCCACTTCTTCACTGACAACAAGCACCACCGCCCAAGTGCCCACACTTTTTGAAATGTTAAGGGCTAGCAACCCAAGACCAGACACTCAAGTAGGAGAAAAAAATACCCAAGTCAGACAGACATGCCACTGAAGAAGTAACATAGGGGAGTGTTTTTGCTGTGATCAGTGCAGAACTGTTGAATCCTTATCAGCTGAGCAATGGTAATTTTTGCCCAATAGTTTGAATTGCCAAACAGCTAATTGGTTGTGTGTTTTTGTTGCCACAGATCCATAATCTGATATGCTGATGGATCTGACAATCTTACCCAGAATCAGAGAAGAGTTGTCCAATAAGGCTTCTTGTCACATTGTCTGAGTGATCTCCCTTGCTAGTAACCTTTACTACTGATATGGCCATCAAGTCTTCCTACTAAATACCTTATTTAATACTTCTTCACCTCCCCAGGCCATCCAGAACATCTTTTTTTCAAACATTTGGTGCCATTTTGCTATATTCATTTATTGGAAATCTGGGATTTAAATTTGAGTTTCCTTTGAACTGTGGGATTTAAATTGGTCATAGCTAACTTAAAATTTATTTATTTCTGTAGATCCGCTGAAGTGTAATTAAATATGGTATTTAATTTTATGGTATTGCCAAATTTAATAAATAATAATTAAAAATAATGTTCCACAATTTATGCTATTAAAAAGATACAATTTTTAAAAATATCATATCATGCAGCTAAGGCCAAGCAAACATGTCATATTATGAAGAGCCGAGGTGGCGCAGTGGTTAGGATGCAGTACTGCAGGCCACTTCAGCTGACTGTTATCTGCAGTTCAGCGGTTCTAATCTCACTG